GTTCCTATCCAGAGGATGTGCTCTCTGGAAGTCTCTAACCTTGCTCAACCTCAATTTCCTCCATTATAAAATGGGACTGATAATAGCACCTACCTTTTCTGGGAGGATTAAGTGCTCAATAATGTTGACAGTTGTCATCATATCTTTTATCACTTCCTTGTATGTAGAAAAGCCATGGTTATTATATTAAGCATTTATTATATGACAGGTATTATGTTAACTACAAGTATTTAGCCGTCACAATAATCTTCTACTGTAAGAATTATCCCCATTTGTAGATGAGGAAACTGGCAGCTAGAGAGAGAGAGAGATTGTATCATTTATCCCAGGAAGGTAGAGCTGGGACTCCAAAGCAGGTTCTACTCTAGCGCTTGCTGTGCTTTGCTGCCATCTGGTCACCGCCATCTTTCTTAGCATGATATAAAGCTAAATGATCACTGTGTTTTGAGACATCTCCATTAAGAAGCTCTCTGATCCCCTTACCCTTCCCCGGCTTGGCTAAGTGCCTCTGTGTTTGGTAGGACTCAGAACTGGCTTCCATCTTTGTACTTACCGCATAGCACTATAATTCTTTGTTTGCTTCTTTGTCTTTCTCTCCTGCTGGACTGTGCTCCTTGGTTTAGGGACCATATTGTTGATTTCTGAATTCAAAATTGAGATCTTTAATAGATCTTTAATAGAGTGACTTCAGATAAATTCCCTAATGCCTCCAGCCTCGGATTCTGTAAAATGGATATAATACTAGCACCTATTTTAGGATTGAATGAGTTAATACAGATTTTAAAAGCTTAACATAGCACCTGGCACATAGTAAATGTTCAGTAGATAGTAGTTGCTATTATTACTGTTGTAATTGTTGAATAATAACTTGTACTGTGCAGCTCAGAAAGCTCTTAATAAGTCTCATTGAATTTCTCTGCACCACTACCATGATTTTTGACTTCCCTCATCCCCATCCAAAGCCAGTGAGTTAAGCTGAGGTGCAGTGTACCCACTTCTCTGGCTTACTCTCTCAAAAATGAAAGCCTTGAATATGGAGCCCTGAGTGCTCTTCTGTGAGCTTCAGAGGAGGCTTGATGCCTTGGCCAGAAGTTGCTTGCTTGTAGTGCCCCTGACTGTTGCTACCATGTCCAGCGGATTGCACATTTTAATGGCGCTGTGTTACCCATATAAGCAATGGCTGGGATCCATTCCCCCAACTAAGCAATGTCTGCTCACGGGGTAGGGGAGAGGGGGTGAATGGGGCCTCTTCTTTTGGAGTGATGACTTAGGACAAGGGGAACACAAGAGCACTAACATTTCTAAGCTCCTTTTACTATTTGTCAACCTTAATGCCAGGTGCTTGGCATTCGTTGTCTATGGTATCCTCTCTGACAATTCTGTAGGGAAGCGGCCTCCTCATTTCATGGATGTAGCTGAGGTTCCCACATGTTAAGGCAACATTTTGGTTAGCCATGGAACCAGAATGTGAACCAAAGTGTATGTAACTCGCAGTCCACACGTTTTCCTCTCCAGTATGTTGCCTCCCAACTTGGGTTCTGCTTCCAGCGTTGTCCCTATAAATAGACTCAGCTTTTCAGATAAGGACCTGTGCCCCATCACCTCTGGTTTAATATTTAGCAGAGAAATGCTCATCGTGTTAGGTTAATGTGGGTATAAAAACTTCCCTCTGGCAGCTGAGTGGCTTTGCACTGGGACAGAGCTGAATTCCTCAAGTGAGTAATCTCTTTTTAAAACGCCCATACGTTTTTCAGTGGTTACAAGACTTGACAGGACCTAACTTTGAATTGACTGAAGCACTCCGGGCAGCATTTAGTCAGCTCTGAAGTGGCTCTGCATCCTAGACCCGGCACAGGCAGCGCAAGGAGCTGTGGAGGGCAGTGCTTTGCTCAGGGCCCCCCGAGTGCCCTGCTGTGGTGGGAGACACGCTGTCTGTCCACGAGCGGAGCAGGAGGACGAGCAGGTTCTGAGCCGAGTCCATCTGTCTCTCCATCGGCCTGTCTGTCTGAGGGCTAATCACCCTCGGCACAGGCCACACCTCAGAGACTGGAATGCAGGGCCGCACAGAAGGGAGGCAGGACTAGCGAGTGCCCTACCTACCTGCTGCCGGCATTTCCCCCGAGATCAGGGTCTCCTCGGTCGCACACCCAGTGCCCAGCACTAAATAAAAAGCAGCTCTGAAAGATGTATTTCCATAGACTTTTTAGAAAGCCCATAAAAATTCCTGGATATAAAAAAATGAGGCATAAAACCTAGAATGTTTGGAAGTCAAGCTGAAAATTGTGGGAGCAAGTCTCCATATCCATTTATTAAATGGGAGCATAACTTAATAGTTGCACCTAGATGTCTTCTGAGAACCACTTCGATTCTGTGCCCCCTTAAGTGCTGTAGACTTGGAGCAAGATCCAAAGTTGGCGTTTGTCTGGAGGGAGAGAAGCGATGGAGTGGGAGACTGACCTAAGGAAGCTTTCATTAGGTCTGGTTGAGTGTGCAATACGTGGGTCACAACCTCCTTCTCCTTTTAATGTGCACGATTTTACCGAAATGGAGCCCCAGAGTAAGATACCGCACACTCGTGAAGGCACGTTCTGAGCGCTGTGCGTGCCCCTTCCCTTCACTGTTGTTTTCATTTTCCTCTCCTGAACCTTGCTACCCTGGCTTCAGCACGGAGGCTCTAAAGGAAGATGGAGAGCCGAGTTACCTCAGAATGATCACTATCGTTAACATTCACGGGTGGTTCACTTATCATTCCTGACTGCACAGACATGGCAGCCGCTCGGAAGCGTCCGCAGGTGTAGCATGGTGATACATATTACATTGTGCCACAATGGATTTATGTATTCTGTAACAAAAGAAAAGTGTAATGAAAAAATACAGAAGGTAATCCTTTATTCCTCCACCACACAATTTATCAGTAATGCCTGTGGATGATAAGTGCCAGGGATTTCCTCTGCTTGCTTTAACCTTGTCACCCAGGTACGTTTTGGTAAAATGACAGAAAAATACAGACTAGGGATTTTCCTCTGTTCAAAAATCTTTTAAAAGGACACTTTTAATTTATGGAAGTTAGTCCAGACGCAAGGCTTCCTTTTGAGCTTCTAGTCTGCCTTTGCTAAAAAAGATAAACGTATTGGTTTGAAATAATGCTGTCAGCCAGCCGATTAGAAGAGAATGTAAGCAATTTATAAGCAGACTCAAATCTAAAATATAAAATAGTTCAGGTGGAACCCAGGTAGATGGGAGTTCGTGAGATCTAGCCCGGTACTAGTTTGTGCGTACCCGAGAACTTGTGTTCCCTTTTAGGCCCCATTCACCCATCGCCCAACATATTGTCACAGATGGAGCGCATACTGACTTCCGAGGAGAGAGCAGGGGAAGACAAGCCTGAATGCGGATGATTGGCGTTTGTTCCAAACACACGCTGGCCTAGCGCCAGAGCAAATACCCCCAAGTTTATAAATGCACAAGGCACTTTACATTTCAGTCCTCTTGCCAAAGTATCACTTACTGCATCGCTCCCTAAATATAGTTTTTTAAAAAAGAGCTATTTCTTATTTTGCTTTGATCAGTAAAATAAACTTTTAAAGATTGTTCTGGGATGGGGTCCAGCTTCTGAGGTAAAGAATGGCTGGAGCTCAGGCATGATTCAGTAACAGAGTGTTCAGTAAAATTAGCTTGACAGTTCTCAGGCCTGCTGTTCAATAGCAAGAACTTGACCAAGTTAAAATGGATGATCGTGCTGGCTAGACCAGCGTCAGCTTTTGCTTTTTAACAAATGGAATGTCAAGGATTAAACAGCAAGCCGTATGGAGAGGAGGGGTGTGGAGATGTCTTTGTATTAGGGAAGCAAATTGGATCCTTGATTTTGAGATCGGCCCCCAGCTCCTGTGGAAAGCCAGCCACCTGGTTGGGTCCAAACTAGGTCCCAAAGAGGTTTAAGGCCTCTTCTCAGCCTGTCCTACCATGGGGAAGCTTTTCCATGGCTTAGCTTGAGGCTTGGCTTTTCTTTCAGATTTCTTGTCAGTATGAAGTTCTGCCATATTTTTTGGCTGTGTGTTCTCCTTTGAGATTCTTATGAGGAAATGGGAATGCGACCAAACTCCTTGTGGTAATTCCCATGTTCCATAGTTGGAAACTTGGGTCCCATTTGTTAGATGAGCTGCTTGGAATTGGCCTGTTTTGTTCTGCTGCCTGAGCATAGTGAGTAGTGTTTGTGATACTTGCTATTGCAATTAACAGTCTTAGTGAAGTTATACCTCACCCAGGGATGGGCTTCTGTTTTTAGGGTACTTGTTCCCTACCAGTTTTTTCCTATCTAAATGAACCACTCCCTCCAAATTTGACTGACTAGAAGCTTACAGGTAGTGTCAGTATTTTGTCTTGTAATTATTTATGCTTCATTTCATATTTTGTTTGAGCTTCTAGGACTAAATAAATTAAAACATTCCTACTGAAGTATATACAGACCGTACGTTTAAAATTTATTTATTTACTTGCTTACTAGCCAGTTAGGAAGAGCCTTTTTTTCCTTATTCTAAATTGAGTTGGGCTATTGTATTTTCCCCTCCACCTCCCGCCTCCCCCCCATCCTCACCCCATGACATTTTTCCTCTAGGGCTCCCTGGGCTTTAATGTGATGGTGGTATCTGCCTGCAGTGACATCTGCTGACACAAGCCAAGTCTATTGTCAATCCTTGCTCCAGGATTTGGCTTGGGAGCCAACATGAGTAACCCACAGTACTAGTGACCCACACAGACCAATTAGATTCAATTTGAGGTAAATCAGAAAAACATTCCCTAACTCTGACCTTTCTTTCACTTAGAACTGTTTATACCAGAATGCCTCTCTCTCTCTCTCTCATTAGAAGTTAGTCTGTTTTTAAATAATTAAAAAGCACTTTGAGGTACACTCAATAAACTTTATTAAACACAGTGAAGACCGCAATAACATTCCTCTGGTTGAATGTTAGTGATGATTTAATATTTATCTTTTCCTACAGAAATGCTGCTCATGGATTCTCCCTTATTCAGGTGGACAACACAAAGGTCACCATGAAAGAAATCTTGCTTAAGGCAGTGAAGCGAAGAAAAGGATCCCAGAAAATTTCAGGTGAGACCCTGGAAGTAGAAGCTTAACCGTTAGTTTAAAAGTGCTTGGTGTGTGCATACCTGTGCGTGTGCGTGTGTGTGTGTGGGAGAGAGAGATGGCTGGCTAGATTGTTCTAGATATCATTGCTAGAAGATTTGGTTAGCAGATCTACAGCAAAAAAAGTGATTTTTTTAAACTGCCCCTGGGCCCAAGAAAGGGACTGGGTCAGTGGCATGTGTGAGAAGAATGTGTTCCTATTGATTATGGAAGCTCCATCATTAATAATTTGTGATAGATTAAGACAAAGCTATTTGAGCTATTAGTTGGTGTAAAGCTGTATTAAAAACCAAATCCTAAATTTGAAGGACTGCTTTTAATTTCATGTTTTCACATAATTTTCCATGAGGGAAACTTTCAGTTAGTGTTCGGGGTATGCAATAAAAGAAAAACAACTTTCATTTTTACCAAATGAGGGCAACTGTAAAAAAAAACTTTTTTAAAGATAAATCACTTGATGTGCACAAATACCTGTTAATCTTTAATTCCTCATTACCCAAATTTGTACAGAAAATAAGCTTATGGGGGCGCCTGGGTGGCTCAGTCGTTAAGCGTCTGCCTTCGGCTCGGGTCGTGATCCCAGGGTTCTGGGATCGAGCCCCACATCGGGCTCCCTGCTCCGCGGGGAAGCCTGCTTCTCCCTCTCCTACTCCCCCTGCTTGTGTTCCCTCTCTCACTATGTCTCTCACTGTCAAATAAATAAATAAAATCTTTAAAAAAAAAAAAAAAAGAAGCTTATGGTATTAGCTATGATACTTAAAGGATATGAGGGAAAAAATATTACCAGTATTGAGAAATAATTATTTTGAGAAATAGCTCAAAGATTTGTTATACCACAGACAACTTTAATATAAATCAACCTCTGTATGACATGTCAAATATCATTGCTTTGTAAATAAATGAGACTTCTTTAACACCTTTAGTTTCATCTTCTGGAAAGGAAAAAATGCATTACTCAGGTTGAAGAGAATAGTTTTGTGTTCTTTTTAAGGAGAGGCATATAATCTGTTCCAGATTTAATTAGCTATCTTCAGATGAAAGCTGAAGTTTTAATAAAAGTTAGAAGAGATAACACAGTGAAGGACACGGATGAGCTGTCTCAAGGCCATATTCCAGGGGAACGATAAGAGCTGTAAAAAATGGCAGAGGAGAGCAATTGAATGGAGCAATGAAAATCTGATTCTCATAAAAAAGAGAGAGAGAGAGAGCTGCTGGTAGGGGCGGTTGTAGATGAGACCTGCTAGCGTCTGCAAGCAATTTGGATGCTTGCCAGGAGTCATTGTTCACCCTCGGCTGTGGCGGGTCTGTCCAGATGTGCCAACTGCACGTTTCGGCTTTTGCCAGCTGACTGCGCCGTTTGATAACCAGCTCTCTGGATGCCCATCACTGGCCGCAGAGATAGAATTAAATGATGATGATCTTCCCACAAGTTGGGAGAGGAAACAATGCATATAAATCTTGATTTCATCTCAGCATGAGAAGTCTTTATCCATCATCACTCATAATGAACAAGTCGTTAGCTGGGATGAATGGTGTTCTGGTTTTTCCAAACACCTCTTTTGTTCATTTTTTGGGTGACTTTTATCCATTGCATGGGGGTCAAACCTCTTTACATTTAAGGGATGATTGAAGAGGCATAGCCTCTCCTTCCCAGGGGAAAGTAGATATTTGGGGGTTCTAGGTGCCAATCTAATAGCATTTAAACAGCTTCAGATATTTAAAGATATTTAATAAGCATGTATCTTCCTTTAGGATCCTATTTTTTCCTCGTGTTTTGGCCCTAAATTTTTTACACATTAGTGCCCATTTTGTGACACATTCATTGTATTCAAAGATAGTGTTATTCCAGGTTGTCCAAGAGGAGCGGGAACCAGCTTTTTAAACCTTCTTAATAGAAATTCAGCTGTCGCAGATTTTTTTAGACCATGAAACCTTTTTGAACTTACTGAGGTGCAGCTGAACCATGTCCTTCCCTCTGTCTCCGGCTATCTCTTTCCAATTGTGTACCTATTTATCTGTGTCCATCTCCAGCAACCACGTTTATCATACACACAGTTATTTATGTTCACCTTTGTGTACACATTCCTGCCATTTCCATCAGAGACTTTGCCACATCCAAAACACAGTGATCTGCATTATTTATTCCTTTTCATACTAGAGAAGTCATTTGAGATTGATGTATTTACATAAATTACTGTCCATTTTCTTAATCCAAAAAGCTCTGTAAAATGAGAAGCCCTTTCTGTTGCTTTATTAAGTCTGGTCTCATGAAACAGAAGGCTCTCCAGTTTGGCAAAGATGTTTATTTAAGGTTAGCTTGGTAAAGACGGTGTATTTTGTGATCTTGAACTTTGTATTGTGGAGTGGGCTTGTTTTGGAGGGTAATTAATGAAAAGAGGAAAATCCTCTCGTCATAGACGGAAACACAGTATGTTTCCTTAAATTAAAAAAAAAAAAAGGCTGTTAGTGCTCACAATTGGCCATGAAATACTTATACACATTATGACATGTGAACTTAGTCATGAACTCAAGAACATGGTGGCAGGAGATGCCAGGCTAGAGACTACGTTTATCCTGCACATGACCCCCGCAGTCTCTGCAAGAAGGGGCCTGCCTCACCCCATGTCCAGGACAGCAGTGGAGTGCTCAGCCCTCTCTTCAAACAGCTTTTGCCTGATGGAGTGCAGAACACCACTTGTCTGTTTTCTGCTCTTTTTTAACTGAAGTGAGGCGAGATTAAACAACATGTGCCATGTGGAGGCGAGAGTTCTCACTTACTGGTTTGTTAGGGGTTAGTTGCACTAAGAACAAGGTTTCAGAAATCCTTTTATAGGCTGACAGTGCACTTCTGTTGCTTACCCACAAACCTCTAACCTCTCTCCTCTTTTTTCCAGACCGACCATACAACTTTCCATTTCATAGTAATCATAAATTGAGAACCTAAACTATTTTAGTATGAAACCCAGATGTGGTGACTACTCCAACATTTAAGTACTCTGTTGCCCTTCCCTCTGGCACTCCCTTCCTGATTTTCATTTGTAAAAAATTGGAAGGTGGCAGCTATTTGAGCAAAAGAAGTCTTCTTTGTTTAGGTAGATAGGTTTGTCAATGGAAACCCTTAGGGTTTTAAAATATTTTTTGCTTGGTATGGACAGACTATCGTTACAGGCACTTGTAGCTGATCTGGAATTTTGACTTGCATTATTTGTAATTATCATTGTCATAACTATTTATGAACACTGCAGGGTTTCTATTACTATTCATGTGCTGAACTAGAGGAGTCTTTTCACTGTGTGTTCCAGTCGGTGCTCTGCTAAGGCCCATTTTTTTTAAAGCCCATTTTTAAATGTCCCTTTTAAAGTTTCTCTACAGCTTTTCATTTTATTACTGATCCACTTGACATTTGGAAGCTACCTGCACTGGCAGAAAGTCCCCACTGTTTAAGAAAACTGTAAATGGAGAATCTGGTTTTAGAAGAATTAACTGGCACCTCTTTACTAATTTTTGTAGCTGGATGGGTGAGTTTTTGACATAATGAAGAGTAGCCAGTCAGGTCCTTTGATTTAGCTAGTAAAATATACTGACCTGTTATTTAGTGAGTGAAGTCCTTAGCTCATCACGTTCTCCTTTGGTCAAGTTCATCCTCACAGCCAGTGACCTTCTGAGCTTCTTAGTATTTTGTTGTTTAAATTTGCTATCACCCACCAACCCTTTACCAGCCTCCTGAAGCATGGTGTTGGGTATGGCAGGAATGCTTAAGAAATGGAGGCAGATACAATTTCAATTTATTTTTTTATTTTTTTTATTTTTCTTAAGATTTTATTTATTTATTTGACAGAGAGAGGCACAGTGAGAGAGGGAACACAAGCAGGGGGAGGGGCAGAGGGAGAAGCAGGCTTCCCGCCGAGCAGGGAGCCCAATGCAGGGCTCGAACCTAGGACCCTGGGACCATGACCTGAGCCGAAGGCAGACGCTTAACGACTGAGCCACCCAGGCGCCCCTACAATTTCAATTTTACATTGACACAGAAATATAGTTAACTCTTGGTCTACAAAAGAGAGAAGGCTTCGAAGTGGGATGTTCCAAGCAGAATAGTTCTCTGCGCGGCTCTGTTTCAGTATTTGTTGTCATTTTGAAATGGAGGTGTTTTTCTTTATCATCTACTAAAAGATTGAACCAGAAGCATATTAACTTTTTCTTACCCTTGTTCATTCTTGCCTTTTGATGTGAAAGACAAATTTTTATTAGTCTGAAAATCCTTTTGAAAAGTTCTTATAGTATTGTTAAAAAAACTTACGACATTCATTTTTGCTTTTCCCTAATAAAATTTCACCTAGACTTTGAAAGATAAATGTTAGCTTTGTCAAGTGGACTCTCTCTTAACATCTCTGTTTAGAGTCACAGACCACCTTATTGTTTGCTAATGTACTGTGTTTTCACAAGACGCCTAGGATGTCATTAGTGATGTTGTCTAGACTAAGACGCCTCCACATTATTCCCTAAAATACTCCTAGACTCAGAGAAGGCCAGCAAACAGCTACCACAGTTTGCAGAGTTCTGATCAGAAAGAGCACTAATGATGACATCATTGGATTCTCATGTAAAATGTAAATTTTGATCCATACTGTATTTGTACTTTCATTCATCCTGTGTCCTCATGTGTCAGACCTGTGCTGGGTGCAGGGAGACAGTGGGGGGCAGATTTACAAGGCCCTTGCTGAGGAAGAACTTACATTCTAGAAAGAAGGTAAAAATAAGGGGCTGTGAGAGAGAATAATAAGATGCAACATATAGGATGGTCAGGGAACTCCTCCCTGAGAAATTGACATTTAAACTGTGACCTTCACATTTAAGCTGTGAAGAGTTGGGGAGGGCCAGTGTCATTCAAAGCAGTGGCTATTAAAGGTTTACTATATTTTAATATAAAAAGAACATTTCAGGGGCGCCTGGGTGGCTCAGTTGGT